CCCGATTACGTATCCCGCTTCCTCTGCGGAATGCGCACGCCCGCCCTCCGTCCGTCCACCCGCTGCCCCGGGCATCTCCCAGGAGACCCACTCTTCCTCTGCCCCGTTTCTCTCAGGGGTTGACTTGAACAGTTCTCGTCGCTTTCGCAGTGTTTTCGTTGTCCCCCGTTTTGCCTTCCATCTCCAGCCCGCCTCTGCTGCGAAACAAGATCGGCACGAAAACGGCCCAGGAAAAATCGGCACATCATCGATTAGGTCGAGCCCTGCGTTCCCTCCCCCCAGAAGACTGCCAGAAGACCCACCCCTTACTCTGCAGTTGTTTTGACGTGGTAACCTCAAGGTGCAGAAAACAGTTACCGCGCTGAAACCAGTTCCGCCTGTGGGGCCCGTCGGTCCGCTGATGAGCCCCAGATGGCAGCAGTGCGCGAACGATCTACAGTCGAGATGCGATGGCAATACAACCGTACAAAAAAGGAAACCAAGAAGTACCGGCACCGCTACTCCCCGGACCTCTCCCGGGATGCGGTCTGACCAGGATTCCGAGGCGAAGCCAGCGGTGGCGACGAGGGCCTCCCCGGAAGCCCAAGAAAGGGGAAAGCGAGGACAGGGTGGCGATCAGGGGAAATTGCATCGTGCCGCCGCTCGGACGTCCATTTCCCGTACGTGGTTCGGTGTCGTGCGTGTTTTTGTTCGCTCGGTGGCCCAGGATCGTCCTCAATGGTTCGAGCCGTGAAAGCATGCACGCGTCCGAGCGGTGCCAGGACATGCTCCTCCTCTGCAAGATGCGGTGGCAAGACCAGCGGCCCAGAACAGGCAGCTCTGGCCCGACCGGAGACCTGCCCGCGGGGCCGCTCCGCGGGCCCGCGCCTCTCGCGGTGGCCCGCCCGCGCTGCCCCGCGAAAGGAGCGCTGCCCGGCCTTGGCCAGGGCGAGGCCAGGGGAGCGGAGCGCAGGACGCAGGTGTGCCAACGCACACACGACGAGGAGAGAGGGAGGGAGCGAGGAGGAGGAGGAGGAGGAAGGGGGAGGAGGAGGAGGAGGAGGAGGAGGAGGAGGAGGAGGAGGAGGAGGAGGAGGAGGAGGAGAGGAGGAGGAGCGAGGAGGAGGAGCGAGGAGGAGGAGGAGGAAGAGGAGGAAGGGGGAGGGAGGGGGCAGCAGGAGGGGTGGCGATGACGAGGGCGATGGTGGAGAGGAGGACGAGGACGGCCGCACGAGGAGGGAGAGCAGAGCGATGGCGCGGAGGAGCAGACCGCGGCCCGGCCGCCTCCGCGTGCTCGCCGCGGGCGGTGCGGCGCCGTCGGCTGCGCCGCCCGCCGCCGTCGAGGGCTCCCAGGGGGCTCGTCGGCGTGCCTCCTGCAGCGCCGCCACGGCCGAGGGCCAGCGCCGCCGCTCCCACTTCCACGATGAAGCGTCGGGGCCAGGACTCCGAGGAGGAAGCGGTGCCCATGCCGCCACCCTTCTCTCGTTCTCCCCTTTTGGGGGCCTCCTGGGAGGCCCTCGTGTCGCCACCGCTGGGCTCGCCTCGAGATTCGTTGGAAACATCTGCAAGAGCTTCACGGATGAAGGGCGGTTCCTGTTCAAAGCGTGGTTCTCGCCTTGGCGCCGCACACATTCGTTGTAAACAGCTCCAAGAGTTCAACGGGTTGAGGGCGGTTCTTTTTCAGCATGTGGCTCTCGCCTTAGCGCCGTCTTTAACGGTGCATGAGCTTAGCGGATTCCCATGGTCAGCGTGCCAGAAATAATGCTTTGGACGGACTCATGATTATGAGGGTGCAGCAGTTACGCTGGTTCGCGGGATTGAAGTCCCAGGAATGGCTTTCTGGCGCGATTCAGGATCGTCAAGACGCAACAGTCAGGTTGATCCGTGGCGGTGGAATCCCGCGTCTGGTCAGACCGCATCCAGGGAGAGGTCCGGGGAGTGGCGGCATCTGTACCTGTGGGCTTCCCAAAGGTTGGAGGCCTAAGCATAAGCACCAACACCAAAACAGGGGGGTGCCTCCACCAGGGGAAGATGATCCTGGATTTGGGCGTTGGTGTTCATATTTCGGCCATCTGGGTAGCACGAACATTACCACCATCACCAAAACCAGGATCATCTGCCCTCGGTGGAAGCACACGGCCGATATTGGTGCTGGTGTCAACCTCAAGGCCTCCGAAGAGACTGCACCCGACGCGCCGAATGGACCCCCGCCGAGGACAGCCACCGCGCACCGAAAGCCGCTCCTCGCGTACGGAGCGCGCCGACGAGACGGGACGCTGAACTGCCGCCTCGGGGGCGCAACGAGTCAAATCAGTGCGCCGGCCGCCCGGGCATGACCTCAAGAGGTATCGGCCCGCCGACGAGGCGGGACGCAGAACTGCCGCCTCGGGGGCGCAACGAGTTAAATCAGTGCGCCGGCCTCCCCGCAGACCAGACCATTTTTGCCCTAGAAACAACACAGTCCCAATCCCAAAATCGCGAATTCGCCAAGGACTCGACCATCGGCCAAAGATTTCGGGGTATGGTTTGCGTTCGTCGTTGTCCCCCCGGTAAAACCCTACCCCGAAATCTACTTCCCCGATGTCTCGAGGAGCCTGCGTTTTGATTTTGCCCTCGCATTTTCGGGATTGGGCGTCTTTTCTGTGGTAGCGAATTTTCTTGATCACGGACGAGTGCACGGTGCCCTGGCCGCGGACCCCAGCGCGGAGCAAGACACAGCCGCGGCAGTGCAGGTCGCAGTGCTCCCCTGCCGCAGCGGGCGGAGACTCCAGCCTCCCGACGCTACGCTGGGCGCTGAGGCCAGTCAGCACAGCGGGGGCGGCTCCGGCGTGGAGCTGCACAGCGGCGGTCTCCGTTGGCGACGGTGCGGTTGTCTTCCCCGAGCGGGCTGGACACGGCGGCCTCCGCGATCACATCGCGCAGCTGGAGTTGCTGGCAGCTTCCATTGGCGACTGCGCGGTGGTCTTCCCGGAGCGGGCTGGACACGGCGGCCTCTGCGATCGCATCGCGCTGCTGGAGTAGGCCAAGCTTCCAAGGGAGGGGGCTTCGCAGGAGGGCCTTAAGGCTTCTGAGAAGACTGGTTTAAGAGACTTGGAGGCAGGAGGGCCTTCAAGAGGCTGCCTGGAGACTTGTTCAAAAACTTCTTAGCAGGCAGGAGGACCTCCACGAGGCCTCCTGTCTTCTGAGAAGCCCCCCCTTGTGCAACAGCCCTTTGCGCGCCGATGGAGGACCGGGCGTGGGTGGCGGAAATGAGTCGGTCGGCCACCCTGACTGTGGTCTCCGACATAATGTTAAAAACGCTGGGGCCTTGTTCCCCGCTTTCAACTCTTGAATGTTCGGCCACCCTGCACTGAAAACATGCAGCCGGGAACATAATGTTTATATATAAAGAGTAGACATGCTCTACGGAACCGAACCGAAAACGGCGCAGACGATGACCCCCAAACAGGGGAAACAATTACCCCCGACGGAAGACAAGCTCGGTCTTGAACACGAACGACAACAAAAACACGCCCCCAGCGTTTTGACATCATCTGGCGGATTCCGGACACCCTGAACCCAAAAAAAGCTCTCATCTCTTGGGAGGTCGTCTATTGCTTCCGCTTGCTTCCGCCAGCCTTCCGCCGCCTTCCGCCGGCGGAGGCGGCCCAGTTTAATTTCCGCCAGCCTTCCGCCGCCTTCGTCAGCGGAAGAGATGGCAAATCCTTCGACCCTCGAAAGCAAGGCCATTTCTGGAACGCCCCATTCTAAATCCGGCACACTGATTATGGTCTCCGACATGGTGGCGGCGATCGCCTAGCTACCTGGCGCGGCGGAGCTGGACCAGGGGACGCGCGGAGCGAACCCGACGCGCTGCGCACGGCGGCCTCCGAGCAGAGCTGACCGACGACGAGGGCGGCGACTCCGATGCGGAGCTGAACGGCGAAGGCACATCGCAGACAGATCGGCGATAGGCCCCCCGATTCACGTGCGGCGCACATATCCGTACCCGCGCCCTCGCAGTCTGGATTCCTTGCCGGGGCGCGATCCCGCATATACGCGGTCGCACGGATGCAGTCCGCGCAGGGCATCTGCAAAACTACGCCCAGCATCCACAGGGTCGCGGCCCAGGGGCCCAGCCCGCGAGGACGCGGATACGGACACGTGCTTCGCCCACGACCGATAGCGAATCCGCACGCTCCTGGGCGGGGAGGGCTCGGGCCATCCTCGGCGATGAATGGGCGATTGGAGGGCTATGCATCCGCCCTGAGCGGATCCTCCCTACTGTTGCCCTCGTGGCGTCGGGGCAATAGGCCGTGCCTCCGGCGGCCGCTCGGGACGATCCAGACACCCCCAGAAGGCCCTCGGCAAGGCGCAGCTACTGGAACGCACGAGGCTGGCGAACCGCCGAGTATTAGGTCGGGCGTGTCTCCCTATAAGCGGATTTTGGACGGAAAATGGAAAATACCCCAAACATGCTCCAAAAATGTTCAAGCTAGTCCAAACATCGTCCTCCGACTTTTTTGCACTGTGCTTGAATACTCCTCCTGTGGGGGGACAGGCCCGACGTCAGCCGAGAACCCACCTCAACCCTCCGAGGACCTGGAACCGCCAACGCTGCCCTGGCGCCAGCGCGCGGCCCTCGCTGCGGCACCGGCCGGCGCGAGGCGCGGCGGCCCTGGCGGCGGGGCGCGGCGCGGCCGAGAGGCACCGCGGCGCGTGGCGGCTTCGGCCCGTCCGACGCCGGGCCGCACAGCGCGGCGCACGGCCAGCTGGCGCACACCGGCGCGCAGCTGGGCGGCGCGCCGCTCGAGAGCTGCGGCGTGGGAGTCGGCGGCGCCTTTCCACGCGCAGGCCCCGGCGCGGACGGCGGGGAGCTCCACGATGTCGCGGGGCGCCAGAGGAGAAGTGGGCCGCGCTGGGGGGAGGGTGGGGGAGAGGAGGGGGGGAGGGAGGGAGGCGGAGGAGGAGGAAGAGAGAGGAGGGAGGGAGGGAGGGATCAGGACGGAGTCTGGAGGGGGGGAAGGCGGAGACGAGAGAAGGACAACGGAGGGAGGAGCGAGAGCTGGCAGGGGGGGCGGGGGAGGGAGGGAGGAGTAGACGAAGAGCAGGAGGAGGACGACGAGGAGGAGATCTCGTAGCTGGTTTTCTTTGCGGCAGACTGGTTGGGAAGAGGAGCAGCAGCATGAGCGGCATCAGGACGAGGAGTAGGCCAAAGATGAGCAGAAGGAGCAGCAGCGAGGAGAGGGGGAAAGAGGAAGAGGGAAGGAGGCGGGAAAGAGAATGGAGGGAGGGAGAGGAAGAGGGGCGGAGGGCGAAGGGCGGGGCCACGGCAGAGAGCGCGCACGCAAGGGCGGCGAGGCGCTCTTCAGGATGAGGTCCCGGATGAAACCGTCGGGGCTCCCGCCCTTGGCGTGGCACCAATGACGTGAGCTAAATGGAAGTCCTCCTCCATCCTTCTCCCGTTTCTTCCTGCTCCTCGTACTTCACCTCCAACATCCTCCTCCCTCTCCTCCTCCTCCTCCCTTCTCCCCAGCAGCGCCACATTCCGCAAGAGTCCACAGGAGTCTGAAAATTCCATCACAGTCACTGAGAATCCTGAGAAAGCCTGCTGATTCACGAGAAAACCGGGAGAGACCTGAATGGTTCCTGAAAGTGTCTGGGCACTCGCTCCCAGAAGAGACCCAGAAATGCTTGATTTGTTGGAACTTCCCGAAGCTTCCCATGGATGCCTGAAAACTCAGCAGGGCTTCATATGGAGTACTGATGACTCGCGGGGAGCCCTAAGGGTGCCGAAGGTATCGTGAGGATGTTTAACTGCCGCGAAGAATCGAACCCGAATGGGTCGCGAAGACTTCCTGGGGACCCCGAAGGGCGCCTTAAGTGCTCCAACGCGCTTCTGGGGGAGATATGGGGAACACGACGGATTACCAAAGAGATCCTCTGACATTCGGATGGAGCCAAGGTGCCTGCCACAGGTGACATGTTAACGATGCAAAGTCAATCATGGGTTTCCCTATAATTAGACCAACAAAAAATGGGCGGGGGGGCCCTTGGCTTTACTGCGGTTGCTACAGCTACTACGATTACATTCACCCATACTACTACACTTCCTGCTGTTGCAACTCCTGCCGATATCCGTAGCAATATCACTTACAGTGGCACGTGCGTGGCCAAGACCCAACAAAACGAACAGGGGGTGCAGGCAAGAACGTCGGGAACATGTCCACACGATCAAGCAAACGACCTGGGGCAACCGACACTCGTCACCAGCACGATTGCGAACACTCGTGCAAAACAAACATACCTGAACACGACTGCATTACCAAATGCCTTAAGCGACTGCTTTCACTAAACATGCAGTAAACACGCGTTGGAATCTCCATTGGCCTGATGAAATGCAACACCGCTTAGCACAATTACTTGAAGTGGGTCAACCAGTAATGTTGCAACTGTTCTTGCGATCTTTGAACATGTCCGCGACCAGTGAAACCATAGAGCGCGGTGGTCTTGTCAGGCGACCATCTGGAATAGCCGTTGCGCCGTGGGAACGCGACGTCGCGATCTGCGTGATGGATGCGTCTGGGTTTCAGAATGAGGAAGATGTCCCATGCGAAACGGCCATTTGAAAATCCACGGCGACACCAGCATTCGCCTCCGAGCTCTATTCCTTCGGAGAGGTGCGAATTATAATTGCTGCATCCTCCCATTCTGCCACTTAGCCGGTCGATGGAATTCCAGAGCGGGGGGGGCCTCCGACCCAGGAAAATAGAATGTCAATATAACATGGGCGTTTTGCTGTCGACCTTGCAAAATGCGTCGCAGGAGTGGGACGCAGCTCATATCGCGAGCGGAATGTCGAGATGTCGCTGTGGCCCTGCGCCGCGCATACTTTTCCTGGAAACTGCGTTCCTGCTTGGGCGCGGTGCACATTTCCCCCTCGCCACTTTACTAGGACACGGGGCGGCGCACGAACGTGCGACACGTCGTTCTCGCCAAAGCCGCGCAGACTTCCCCTTAAAGCGGCGCACCCGATTTGGCGCGGCGCATCTTTCTCACCCGCCCCAGACGTCGGAAACGAGGTCGCGCCTCACATAGCGAAGTGTCGCTTTCGCTCTGCGGATCTCGCTTGAAAATTGCGCCCCTGCCTGGGCGCGGTGCGTGTGGCCTCGCCAGTCCTATAGAAAAAACTGTTTGCGCGCGGGAGGGTTCAACGGTGCTGCTGCTTCAGTTCCGCGTAAAGATTCCCTGGGAGTTCTGCTTCCGCCTGTGTGCGGCCCATGGTATCCTTCGCCACGTCGTCGCTCCTCCTCCTCCTCCACCACCTCCTCCTCCTCCTCCTCCTCCTCCTCCTCCTCTTCCTCCTCCTCCCTCCTCCTCCTCCTCCTCCTCCTCCTCCTCCTCTCCTCCTCTCCTCCTCCCCCTCCTCCTCCTCCTCCTCCTCCACCACCTCCTCCTCCTCCTCCTCCTCCTCCTCCTCCTCTTCCTCCTCCTAGTGGCCGCAGGGGGGGCGAGCGCATCCCGTTGGCTAGGCGGGAGCGCGCGCCAGCCCCAGCATCCAGTCGTGCTTGCCATGGTTCCGACGTCATGGCAAGGAGGGTGGGGCTGGGTTGGGCCCGCTCGCTCGTTCGGGCTGGTTAGCTCGACTCCTTCTCCAACATCTCCTCCATCCTCATGCGCCTCCTTCTCATCACCGTCATCATCCCTCCTCACGTCGCGCCAACCGCATTGTCTCTCCTGTCATACACCTCCTCCTCCTCCTCCTCCTCCTCCTCCTCCTGATCTCATTGCTGGTCGTCGTCATCATCATAATCATCATCATCAGCAGCAGCATCATCATCATCGTCGTCGTCAGCACCATCATCATCATCAGCATCATCATCAGCGTTGTCATCATCATCAGTATCATCATCAGCAGCATCATCATTACCATCATCATCTGCACCATCCATCATCACCATCATCATCAGCATCATCATCAGCAGCAACATCATCATCATCAGCAGCAGCATCAGCTGCATCATCATCATCATCATCATCATCATCATCATCAGCAGCATGGCCGCCATCATCATCAACAGCATCAGCAGCAGATTCATCATCATCACAAGCATCCGCGTCATGAGCCTGATCGTCATCACCACCACAATCAACCATCATCATCAGCATCGTCAGCAACATCCGCATAAGCACCATCGTCAACGTCGACGTCATCACCATCAGCATCCGTATCACAATCATCAGCAACATCATCATAATCATCAGCATCAACATCGTCATCGTCAGCATCATCATGACCGTCATCATCAGCAACACCATCGTCAGCATGATTATCAGCATCATCAGCAGCATCAACATCATCGGCATGGTCATCGTCATCATCGTCATCGTCGTCGTCGCTGTCGTCAGCATCAGCATCAACACAATAAACATCGTTACAATCATGTGCATCAACATCGCCACCATCGTCAACCGCTTCATCAGCACCATCATCATCAGCACAAGTATCTGCATCATCATCAGCATGCTCATCATCGTCAGCGTCAGCATCAACATCATCACCATCAGCATCATCATCAGCAGAATCAGCATCGTCGTCATCGTCACAGCCATCATCATCATCATCACCATAATCATCAGCAGCATCATCAGGAGCATCATCATCGATATCATCACCATCATCATAATCATACTCATGATCATAATCAGCACCTCCATTGTTACCATCACCACAATCAAAATCATCAGCATCACCATCATCATCATCGATACCACCACCATATTCACAATCATAAACATCATCATCGCCTCCCTTATTATCATCACCACAATCAAAGACATCATCAGCATCATCATCAGCAGCAGCATCATCATCACCATCTTGCTCCTGAACCAGCCTCCACCTCCTCCTACTCCTCCTCCGCATTATCATAATCATCCTCGCCATCCCGCGCCCCCTCATCTATGCACATCCTCCTCCTCCTCCTTTCCCTCCTTGGCCTCCTCATCATCATTACTATCCTCAGCTTACGCGGCCTCATCCCTCCTGGTCATGTTCCCTCATGATCCTCCTCAGCCTAAGCCCTTAGCCTCTTCCTAATTGTATTCTTACTCATGCCTCTTCCTTATCCTCCTCCTCCGTCTCCTCCTCCCCATCATTCCCTACCTAGGCTCTACCTAGAAGGGTTCTTACTCTGTAGCTTAAAGGGGCCGGGCAGTGGAAATCGCCCCGGGCGGTTCCCCCAGTCCCCTGGGAGCCAAGCAAAAGCAACAGCAAAGGTAAAAGCAAACGCGCGGTTCCCCCAGTTGCGCCCCCTGGGTGCCACCTAGGAGGCAAAAGCAAAGGCAAAATTGAAGGCAAAAGCGAAGGCAAAGCAAAATAATAGCATAGCAAAGCATAGCATAGCATAGCATAGCGCAGCATAGCATAGCGCAGCATAGCATAGCATAGCATAGCATAGCCTAGCCTAGCCCAGCATAGCATTGCGCAGCATAGCATAGCATAGCATAGCAGAGCAGAGCAGAGCATAGCATAGCATAGCGCAGCACAGCATCCACGATTTCTGCTGATATATATATATATATATATGTATGTGTGTACTTATGTGTGTGTGTGCGCACGTATGTTCCATGCATGTTGTCCTTCTGTGGGCCATCTGGAGCCCTTAGTGGGGCAGCTTGAGCCCTTAGTGGGGCATTTTGAGCCCTTAGTGGGGCAGCTTGAGCCCGTCTGTGGGCCATCTTGAGCCCGAAGTGGGGCTGCTCCTACTACTGTTGCTTTCCTAGAGGCTCCAATTCCTAGGTAGGGTCGCACTGGGATAATTCTTTTTTTGTGATTCCTCATCATCCTTCTCCTCAACCTCTTTGTCATACGCCTTCTACCCTCCTCATCGCCAACGCCATTGTCATACTATTCATCCGCCTTCTCCATCTCCAAGTGGCCATGGCCTTGATAATGCGGTCATCCTCGTCATTAAAATGATGATCCAAGGCAGCAGCACGAACGACATCATTGCCGTCACCATCACCACCATCATCAGCAGCGGCCTCCTCCTCCTCCTTCCCCCCCTACGTACCATCATCATCATCATCATCAGCAGCAGCAGCATCATCAGCATCATCAGCATCATCAGCATCATCATAAGCCTCAACACCAGTTTCGCCATCGTCGTCGTCACCATCACCATCATCATCGTCAACATCACCAGCGTCATCCGGCGATCAGGGACCAGTGGTCTGCAGTCGAGGTACCGCATGCGAGGTATCAGCATCGTTGTCATTGCCATCGGCATCATTATCATCACCGTCCGTTCCATCATCATCGGTAACCTCACCTCCGTCGCCATCATCATCAGCATCATCATCAGCATCATCAGCATCATCAGCATAATCATCATCGTCGTCGTCATTCCCAACCCCGGGAGGACGCACGGCCCCATGCTGCAAAGACGACGCGGCGACAAGACTCCATTGTGCAACTTGTCAACTGTGCACTCGGGGCAGCGCTCACCTCACGAGAGGCGAGGATCGGGGCGTCGTGGCCGCTGGACCAAGACGCGCAGCTGAGCATCATGATCCTCATCCTCATCATCATCATCACCATCATCATCATCATCATCATCATCATCATCAGCATCATAATCATAATCAGCAGCAGCATCATCATCACCATCATTATCACCATCATCATCACCACCACCATCGTCGCCATCATGACCAGCACCACCACCATCATCTCTCCGTTCCTCTCCTGATCTCCGCTCCTTCTCCCCGTCCCTCCCCAGTCAGCACCGCCCTCCTCCCCCTCCTCCACGTCGTCCCCTTCTCCCCCGTTCATATCGCCTCCCCTCCTCCCCACTACCACACTCCCCCCGCCCTCCATGCCCGTCCCCCTCCTGCATCCGCACCCTCCCCCTCCCCCGCCACCCCCCTCCTGCATCCGCACCGTCCCCCTCCCCCGCCCCGAGGGGCCTCGCCCGTGAGCTGCTCCTGGTACCACTCCTCGAGGTTGTCCAGCTTGTCGCCGTCGAGGTCGATGCCTGCGGGGGGGGGGAGTGAGCCCGTCTTTTTCCCCCTTGTCCTAGGATGGGGTCCCTGTTATTCCGCATGTACTAGGATCGGGTTATTGCTAGTACTTAGACGCCTCTGGACCTCCCGCCTCCTGTTCCTCTTGTTTCTCCTCTTCCCCTTCTCACTCTGATATCACTCATATACCAGTACTCAGGTCACTCACACCCATCACGGGTCCCATCACACCTCCACTCTTCTTACGGGGTCCATCCCAGACTCACACTTCCTCACGCAGACTGGGCCACATCACTTCCTCACTCAGAATCACTCAGGCTCAGACTCACTCAAACTCAGACTCAGTCACATCACTTCCCCACTCAGACCCACTCAGACTCAGAGGCGTTGGGTTCAGCACTCCCAAAGGGGGGGGGCGCCAGGGGTGAATACACTCCAGGGTTCGGGCCCGGATTGTGGGTTTTCTCTGGCGGTTTGCCTGTTTTTGTCACCTAACAACCTTTGCTTTCGGAGCTGGTTGTCGGGCTGTCTCAGGCGAGGCGCTGGTCGCAGCACTCCCACAGAGGGAGCCGCCAGGGGCGAACAAATTTCTTCATTCGTGTCAAGATTTGGGGGGTGTCTCGGGCGCTCTGTCTGCTTCTCACCCAAACATCCTCTGCTTTCGGAGCAGATTGTCAGGATGTCTTGGGCGAGGCGTTGGTTGCAGCACTCCCCAAGGGGGAGCCGCCAGGGGCGAACACACTCCTCAATTCGTGTTTTAGGCGATGTCTCGGGCGGTTTGCCTGCTCTTCCCCAAAAACTCTTCTGCTGTAGGAGCAGATTGTCAGGATGTCTCAGGCGAGGCGCTGGTTGCAGTACTCCCAAAGGGGGAGCCGCCAGGGGCGAACACGCTCCAGAGTCCGCGCGAAGTTTGTAGGGACAGGCGGTTTGCATGCCTCTGCCTCCCAGCATCCTCTGCTTCCGGAGCAGATTGTGAGGATGTCTCGGGCGAGGCGCTGGTTCCTGGACTCCCTCCCAAGCAGTGGATGGGCGCCAGAGGTGGGGCACTCCAGAATTTGCGTCCACTCAGTTGGGATGTCTCAAGCGGTGTGCGTGGTTCTGTCCCCAAACACCCCTTGCTGCTGGAACAGATTATGAGGATCTCTCATGCGAGGCGCTGGCTTCAGCACTCCCAAGGAGGGGGGGCGTCAACGGTAGGGGCACTGCAAAATTCGCGCCGAGTTGGTGGGGATGCCTCGAGCGGGCTTCTTGCTTCTACACCCCAGCATGCTCTGCGTTCGAAACAGATTGAGACGTCGTCTCAGACGAGTCGCTGGCTTCAGCACTCCCAAGGGGGAGGCGCCAGGGGGGTATCTCACGGGCCAATTCGCGCTCAGACGATGGGGATGCATCAGGCGGTTGGCTTGCTTCGGCCCGCGACTTGTCCCTTTTGGCGATCCAATGCTCACCGCGCGATAGAAGAAGGGGCAGTTGGCAGCTCAAGGGGGGAACGGGGGGGGACGCCAGGGGCCAGGACACTCCAGGATTCGCTTCCCAATTGTGGGGATGCCTTAAGAGGATATTGATCCGCATACTACGACTGCTACTAATACAAATACGAGTCCGAACAATACTACTACTACTACGACGACTACTGCTACTACTACTACTACTACTACTACTACTACTACTACTACTACTACTACCACTACCACTACCACTACCACTACCACTACCACTACTACTACTACTACTACTACTACTGCTACTACTACTACTACTACTACTAACTACTACTACTACTAACTACTACTACTACTACTACTACTACTACTACTACTACTACTACTACTACTACTACTACTACTACTACTACTACTCTACTAACTACTCTACTACTACTACTACCTACTACTACTACTACTAACTACTACTACTACTACTACTACTACTACTACTACTACTACTAACTACACTACTACTATACTACTACTACTACTGCTACTATTACTGCTACTGCTAATACTAATACTACTACTAACTACTACTACTACTACTACTGCTACTACTACGACTACGACTACTACTCTACTACTACTACTACTACTACTACTACTACTACTACTACTACTACTACTACACTACTACTACTACTACTACTACTACTACTACTACTACTACTACTACCACTACTACTACTACTACTACTACTACTACTACTACTACTACTACTACTTCTGCTACTACTACTAGGCAACGGCACGCCCTCCACGCCTGGACCCCCGCGAACGGCACACCCTCCACGCCTCAAGTTTCTCAGTGGGGAGACGTTAAGGTGACCGTTGGGACCCCCGGGGCGCGCAACACCCAACAAAAAAAAGAAAGAGAAGAGGAACGATCGAGGGGTGTTTGTGCAAGATGCAAGGTTCTGCTCGCGAAACGGTCTCCACGCCTGGGCCGCCTTAAACATTTATAAGGTGGTGCCGTAGTATGAGATGCCATCAAGCTACCATGAGACAATATAGCGCCAAGGTACCGTAGCATCAGATGTCACCAAGCCACCATGAGACAATATAGCATCCCAAGGTACCGTAGTACGAGATGCCATCACACTACCACGTTGCAAGATGGCATCAAGCTACCCTGTTGCAAGAGGCCATCAAACCACCATGTTGCAAGACAACATCCACGTACCGTTGTATGCGATGCCATCAACCTACCATGGTGCAAGATAGCAACATTGTAGCGTGGTACGGGATGGCATCAAGATACCATGATGCAAGATATCATCAAGGTGGCAGACGCGCCAACGAAGCTGTCATACGAAAACGATAGCAAGCATATCAAAGCAACACATCATACCATACAAGTAGTACCAAATCAACATGTCAACATGAAACAATCATATAAAGACAGCGTGAGGTACTATAGCCAGCAGCATGCCATAACGTGGCGCCCATATCAATACAGCTGAGGCCTCCTGGGACCTCCTGGGGCCTCCTGGGTGGTCCCTGGGGTCTCCTAGTGCCTCCTGGCGGCCTCCTGGGGCTTCCTGGGGTCTCCTGAAGCCTCCAAGGGCCTCCTGGGGCCTCCTGGGGCCTCCTGGAACCGTTTGGGGATTCCTGGGAGCCTCCTGGGGCCGCCTGGGATCTCCTGAAGCCTCCTAGGGCCGCCTCCTGATGGCCTCCTGGGGCCTCCTGGTAGCCTCCTAAGGGCCTCCTGGAGGCCTCCTGGTGCCTACTGGGGACAACTGGGGTCTTCTGGTGCGTCCTGGACCGCCTCCTGGCGCCTCCGTGGTCTCCCGGTGGCCTCCTGCATCCTGGGGTCTCCTGGGGTTTCCTGGGGTTTCTTGGGGGCCACATGGCAGACTATAGCGGACGCAGCAATCAAACACTGCAAACAGCATCGGTCGCATCTAACGAACATGGTGTAAGATAGCAGACGCGTCAAGAAAACATGGCACACGATAGCAATCATAGCAAGACAACGTACCAGACTATACCACTAGTATCAAGACAACCTGGCAACATGAGACACCACTGTAGAGACAGCAAAAGGTAGCATAGCAAACACCTTGCCAGAACATGGCAATCGTATCAATGCAGCTGGGGTCTCCTGGGGTTGCCTGGGCCCTCCTGGTGTCTTGGGGCCTCCTGGGTGCTTCCTGGGTGCCTCCTGGGTTTCCTGATGTTTCTCTCCTGAAGCCGCCTGGAGCCTCCTGGGGCCTCTTAGAGTCTCCTGGGCCTCATGGCGGCCTCCTTGGGCCCCCTGGAGTCTCCTGGGGCCTCCTGGGGCCTCCTGGGGTTTCCTGTGTGCCTTCTGGGTCCTCCTGGTGCCTCCTGGGGTCTCCTGGTGCCTCCTGTTGTGTCCTCTGGTTTCCTGAGGGCCTCCTGGAGTCTCCTGGGGCATCTTGGGGCCTCTTGGGGCCTCCTGTGGTTTTCTGATGCCTCCTGGGGCCTCCTGGGGGTTCCTGGGACCTCCTGCGTGCCTTTCGTGGGACGTCCCGGAAGCTCTTGCGGCATCCTGCGAGCTCCTGGA